GCCATGGAGGAATGAACAATAGATACTAATGAGAAATCCTTGTTGAAGTTCCTCCAAGATGGCCGCTTTGACAAAGAATAACGTTTTTGATAAAACTCATAACACACTGCATATTGTTGGGTGGAATTATTCAATATGTGAAGTAGATCATGACAAATGAGCTATACAACATTATAAAAATTATTTGCACATTTTCACAGGACTAGCAGCACTAGTCCAGCTTTATGTAGACGCTCTCAACACTCCGGGCGCTGTACCCAACGTAGAAGAGTCCTGGGATACATTTGCCAATACCAAATGTCGTGAAGTATTGGAAGATGCTTTGAGGACATACCAACAGGAAATGACGTCATTCGTGGAGAATATGATGCCTTGCGAAGCCGATGAGCTAAGATCTGCGCATGAACAAACCATGGAAAAATGTCTCGAAACGTTTAAAGAAGAGACACGTTTTTTCTCTATTGATAGTGTGGCGCCGCATTTGCAGGAATTGACAGTAAGTTATTGGTCACTGTGAGGGAAAGGCGATTTAGAGGTCGCTCAATTCAGACCATGTGATGGTTTAGGTCTAGGGAGGTCTTTTTGATTTAAGTTTATTAAGATTCTGCAACCAGCTGATATAGAGGTTATCGGTACCACCTCAGGTCAGCCTAAATACTTGATATTGACGGCGTTCATATTTTATCCTCAAGGGGAAGACAGATAACCTATTGCTTAGATGGCTTCAAACAAACAAACAAAGAACTGAAGAGAGCTGCAAAGCATTAATCAAAGAGCTTGAGAAAACAATTTTGGATCCAGTTCTTAGTCGCCTCGTGGGCCCTGATGGATCTCAGATGGATTTTAATGAGCTCGTAGAGGCATATAAACTAATTGAGCAGAGATACAAAGATGAAGGGCGTGGTGATCTGGAAACTAAAGCACTTGCTTTTGTGGATATGAATTCAGTAAATGATTTTAAAAGTTTCGTCTTTTCACTGGAAAAAATCGCGAGCTTTAAAGGTTGTAAATTTGATATAAATATGATGTAAGTGTCCAAAATTCTGTAAATTTGATGTAAATGATTTCCATTAAATTTGCAGAATTTTGGAAATTTATCATATTTACATCAAATTTACAACCTTTAAAGCGCGCGATTTTTTCCAGTGTTTATGGATAATATTTGATGATAAGAGCAACCTCTTCTAAGGTGGTTGAAAATCACAACCTAGGACATATAGTAAGCTTGTTGAATCAAGATAGCCAATTCTTCATGCATATAATTGTTAGTCTTGGATTTTACCACTCACAGACAGCCTCCTATTACAGCTCATCCCATTTATTTCAAAAATGGGAATTCAAAAGGACTTTTATCAAAAAAATGATATATAAAAATGAAATATTTGACTTTTAGAGGCTAAATGACGAAATGACTAGAAACTGGGACATCCTGAAAAAGCTGAAAAACTACGATGCTTTGCTAGCAAAGGAAAAAACACAAAAAGCCAAAATGGAACAGGAAAAAGAAAGAGCCAAAGTGAGTAAAAGAGCTATTTATTACAGATAGATCATATCTGCGTCTTATGATCTTTTAATCATACACAATTATCTATAAAATACCTGACACATTCAAGGTTTCTCTCTATAGCGGAAGGAAGAAAAAACTATTTTACAACACAATTTACATTTTATTTAATTTACATATTACATGGTCGCTTGAAGATACGAATTTATATAAAATCCGCAAGTCCGCGCGCCCATGTAATATCCTCTATATATCTGATCATATGTTTCAGCAGTTTCATTATACGATTTTGATATTTTCTTTTCAGGAAGAAATGAAACGCCTGGAGAAAGAACAAAGAGACAGACAAAAAGAGGTCAGAACATGTATTCTTAATTTGAACGCGGAAAGAAAAGTATTACTAAACCCCGGAGAAATGATGTGAGTAGATTTTTCGATCAAGATTGAGTCTGACCAAATAACTACATATTTTCCAGCGAGATATGTTCTACAAGAAGCAAGAAGAGGATAAAATCAGAATGCAAGAGATGTATACGAAAAGCTTGGAGGACCAAAAAGAACAGATGAGAAATATGATTGAGGCCAACTTTGAAGCTCAAAAAAAAGAAAGAGAAGATGCTCTTGCACACCAAAAAACCATCATGGACGATTATGCTAATATGGTTAAAAAGAACTTCGAACAAAGAGATCARGAAATTAAACTTCTTAGAGAACAGGTTAAGTTCTTGAAAACAAACTTATCTAATCTAATTGATGCAAAGAGAAGCGAAGTGCTATTTTAGCGTTTGTTTTAAATCTTATTACTAGTCATAGCTACCGCTAAGTGCCAACGAGGAGATGATGTTTTCCAGAAATTGTCATGAAGGGGATTTAGCGCGACATTAACAAATAGATGAAATATGTCACATAATTAGAAGCTAAGAAAACAGTTAGTGTCATGTGAAGTTTGTTGTCTTTTCGATCTTATCCTGGATGGGTCTCCTCCATGATGTCAGTTTTTTTAGAAGCGTCAGATTTTTATGTAGACTCGGTCAAGATTGCAATGTTAATGGTTTGTAGTAGCCCAGACTCTTCCAAAGTCGCTTGCGAGTCGTCGAAGCACCCCATAGCTAAAGGGAGAAACTGTTGAAGTTAAATTACTGAAAAGACCACAGACGGTGAATAAATTATTGTATTAACCAGTGCACACTTCCTAAGAGAGTTTTTAGTCAATCGAATGGTATGATTTTAACCCAGTGAAAGTGAACAATTGCCTCACCTATCCGCCTAACTATTAGTCATATAGTCTTCCCACTGAACATCGGATCTGAAAGCAATTGTTCGTTGTGCCGTAAATCATAAATGGCACTGACCAATAAATGAGTACTTTAACTCAATTTCTAAAATATTTAGGATACTACGTGCGCTGTGATTGGTCTAAAACCATGTTTGATTACAGTATCAAAACAAGCTCACGCGCGTCGTGGTTTCCTACGCTTCTCTCGTGCTCTCCCTACATCCCGCGTGTTTTGATCAGAGTATCAAACACGGAATTTCGTCTTTTATTCCTTAAGTGAGAATTCAATGAAATGTACTCTGTGCTCTTGTTAGATAGTTTTGTTTGTTTTAAAACTGACAGTTTGTCAAATAGTGCAGTGCACGCTGGCTTATTCGTGAACGCGTTGGTTCGTTTTGGTACTCAAGTTTATTGAACACGCTGGTTCGAGGATTGACTAAAAACACTCTTAGGAAGTGTGCACAGGTCAATACAACCAAATGAAGGAACAGAGACCTAATTTACTCACCGTTTATGGTCTTTTCAGTACTTTAACTTCAACAGTTTCTTCCTTTAGCTTTGGCGTACTTCGACGACTCGCAAGCGACTTGTGATGCCAAGACCACGAGACTATCGTGGCTTCCGATTGGTTTAGATCGGAGTTCTATTGTGTGCTCCAATACTCCAGTTTCGAATTCAAAGCGAATAACCGCTGTTTTACTTGACAGCAGATTCTATTACGCAAAGAACTTACCAAACACAAAAGAAAGCACGAGAAAATGTTGTTAATACAATAGCGCTAAGAATCTACATTTTCCCCGAGTTGAGGCTAACCCTGCTCATACCTTAGGTCTTATGGGAATACAGGGATAATCTCAACTCGGGGAAAATGTAAATTTTCAAGACATTTTCTCGTGCTCTCTTTTGTGTTTKTRMRGTCTTTGCGCAAGAGAATCTKYTGTCAAATAAAGCAGCGGTTATTCGCTATGAATTCGAAACTGGAGTATTGGTTGACTCGTGATTCCATTGTTACATTACATTACATTACATTACATTACATTACATTACATTACACTACACTACACTACACTACACTACACTACACTACACTACACTACTACACTACACTACACTACACTACACTACACTACACTACATTGCATTGCATTGCATTGCATTGCATAGAAAAGCGTTATTATTTCATATTTTACGTGAGTTGGGAGAACACTCTGATACTTTACTGAATTATATGACAAACTTGCGTCTGCATGTGCGTAGTTCAAAAATGTCTCAACTTTGGCGATATACATCATGGCGTCATCTTAATACCTCTTGCAGCAATCCTTTTTTAATCCCTTAGGAAGTTAATTCAAAAAATTACATTACAACAGAAAGTTGGTAAAGCATTGTGGAAGTCGTAGTAGCATGATGACATCGTGAAGATCGTCTAATATGTACAATTGAGTAAAATGTGTGATTTCTTACTGATTGATGCAGATGTCAGAGAAAGAGGCCCAGGCGAAAAAAGACCTAGATAACATGTCAAGAAAGCACCAAGAAGAAAAGGAAAAATACAAGAAGGAAGCAAAAAAAGATCTTGAAGCTACCATTAAAAAGCTCAATGCAGACAACAAGGCTGAAAATGAGGTTAGTAATATCATCGTCAGCGCAAACACCACTATCACATCTGCTATTATACAGCGATTTCAGAAAATGTTCCAGAAAAAATATATGCAGAATAAAAGTGAGGTAGCGTTTGGCCTAAACTTCACTTTTATTCTGTACAACATGATGCTACTCGAGAACACTTTCACTACTAGAAAATATATGTTTAATAGAAAAGAAGTATATTCCACTGCATTGTTGATCTTTCTATCGTCGTAAACATGATTTCGTTGTGTCAGAGTGACACACCACCATATTCATGTATGTTTAAGTGGGTTGGTTCATGTCTATATTTTTTCCTTAAGACGATGCAAAACCGGTTGAAAAAGGAAATGAAACAAGAACAGATCGACAAAGTGAAAAAAGCGTCTTTCTTGAAGCGCGGTAAATTTTGGCTCTCTGGAAACCCAGACCACCTGGACTTGAAATAAGCTGTCTACAAGTGGTATCTCCAGTAATATAGATCTCTATCAGAAACTGAGAGACGCACTTATTTGGAAAAAAAAAGATGTAGAGTAGTATTTTGACAAGAAAACACTTAGTTACAAGTTTAAGTTTATAAACAAATAGTAGTTCTACTCATAATGGTGTCAAATGTGGGAGATTTGTGCTGTTTGAAATCATAACGCAAGAAAAACTATTAAGAAGAAGCATGCCGTGACATCTGGAAGTCACTTAGCGTACTTTTTTTCACAGTCAGAGCCTAGGATTTCTTTTCAAAGAGCGGAAATTTTAATTGATTGGGCCCGCTGTAATTGTCTCTGCTGTTGCCGTATCACTCTCTCATTATTGTGTTTGTATGTTATTTATGTATGTATGTATTTCATGTATTTACAGTTGTTTATATTTGGCGAAGCTAATAAAAAAAAATAAAATAAAATAAAAAAACAAAACTCTCTTTTTCTTTACAGAAACGCTTATAAAATTACTACTAACGAACTTTAGTATAAACATACTAATGGTCTATCACTCATACTGCGCTGTGATTGGCTACTCTACTAATGGTCTAATTTGTGATAGACCACTCGGGGTAAAATCAATCGCATTAATAAATT